GCGTTCGGCAACCCCCAGAAAGAGAGTCAAGCCAACCGGGCGATTCGGCGTTTGAAACAGGGCAAGTCCACGGTGGCCACATATACCACGGAGTTTCGGCTGTTGGCACAGGACTTGACCTGGAATGACTCGGCACTGCGGGACCAGTATCTCGAAGGGCTTTCGGACGAGGTACTGGACCAGTTGGCCACAATGGAACGCCCCACCACGCTGGACACTCTCATTCAACGGAGTCTACAAATAGACGACCGGTTGGAGGATCGGCGTCAGGCCCGGGTCGCCGACACTTCCAGTTCACGGCACCAGTTTTTCCGGCAGCCCCACGGTCACAACTGATTTAACGGAGGAGCCTATGCAGCTCGGGGCAGTGCGGCCACGCCTTTCCCCGCAGAGAAGGCGCGGCGTCGGGAGGGAAATCTCTGTCTTTACTGTGGCGGAAGTGGACACTTCGCTCGGTCCTGCCCTGAGAAACGCCAGCCGCAGGGAAACCGCCAACCCCAGTAGCTGATGGCCCTAGCTGCCGGGGGTCCCAAACCGTACAGAATGGGCCCGCACCAATGGACTTGCAACATCTTATGGTTTCAGTACGTTTATACCCTCCAGGTGGGCCCTGGATCCTCACCCATGCTTTGGTAGATTCAGGGGCAACCCGCTCCTATATGGACGCTGCTTTTGCCGCCCATCATCAGGTGCCACTCGGAACAAGCCAGTACCGGTCCAGGTGGAAGCGATTGACGGACGACTTCTGCGTTCAGGTGCCGTTACTCAGGAGACCCAGCCCTTGGTCCTGTGTCTCCAGCAGCACCGGGAGTTGCGGACTTTGGACATTGCCTCTATGCCCCGCTTCCCCTGGTGCTCGGGATGGACTGGCTGGAAGCCCACAACGTTCAGATTGACTGGGTCAAACGGACCGTGCACTTCCCAGACCCATGTTCCCATGCTCAATCCGGAACGCTGGCGGCCGCGCCCTCAGAGGAGGCAGCACCCACGCTCCCAGCCGTGTACCAGGACTACCAGGACGTGTTCGAGGAACGGGGGGCAGACCAGCTGCCGCCACATCGGCCTTTTGACTGCGGCATAGACCTCCAACCCGGAGCGCCTTTACCAGTGAGTCGCTTATATTCCCTAACAGAGCCAGAGCGCGAGGCTTTGCAGGACTTCTTGCGCAAGAACCTGGAGCGTGGGTTCATTAGGCCTTCCACCTCGCCTACCGCGGCACCAGTGCTTTCGCTAAGAAGAAATGTGGGGAACTCCGCCCTTGCCATGATTACCGAGCCCTGAACAAAATTACCGTCCCAGACCGGTACCCCTTGCCCCTTATCTCGGAACTGCTGGAGCGGGTGCAAGGGGCACAGGTGTTCACCAAGCTGGACCTCCGGGGGGCCTACAACTTGATTCGGATCCGAGCCGGGGATGAGTGGAAGACAGCGTTTGGGACCCGGTACGGGCAGTTCGAATATTTGGTTATGCCTTTCGGTTTGTGCAACGCGCCTGCTGTGTTTCAACGCTACATCAACCACGTGTTTCAGGACTTGTTAGACAAGTACGTGGTGGTGTATTTGGATGACATACTGATTTACTCCCGTGACCCGGCTTGCCATGAGGGACATGTCCGGACCGTGCTGCAGCGCTTGCGTGAGCACCGTTTGTACGCAAAGCTCAGCAAGTGCGAGTTCCATCAGCGGACTGTGGACTTCCTTGGTCACCGGCTCTCTCCAGATGGGGTGCAAATGGACCCGGGGAAGGTGACAGCGGTTCAAGAATGGGCGGCACCCCGGAACCGCAAGGACCTGCAGCGTTTCCTGGGGTTCGCCAATTACTACCGGACCTTCATCGCTGATTATGCTCATCGCACCACCCCGTTGACCCGGCTACTGCGCCCAAAGACGCCGTTTTCCTGGGACAAGGAGGCAGAGGAGGCGTTTCAGGGGTTGAAGGCCTGTTTCCAGAGGGCACCAATCTTACAACATCCTGACCCCTCTCGACCCTTTGTGGTGGAGACCGACGCTTCCAGTACGGCTCTCGGTGCCGTCTTGTCTCAACAGATTGGTCCTGAAGCGCCACTCTTACCCTGTGCCTTCTACTCTCGCCAGCTCCTACCAGCGGAGCGTAACTATACTGTGTGGGAGCGGGAACTACTGGCCATCAAGGTAGCCTTTGAGGTCTGGCGCCACCATCTTGAGGGGGGCACGACATCCGGTGGAGGTGAGAACCGACCACCGGAACCTGGAGTACCTCCAGACCACCCGCAAGCTGAACCAAAGACAGATCCGGTGGGCGTTGTTCTTTTCCCGGTTCCAGTTCCGGATCCGCTACATCCCTAGCTCTCAGAATCAGAAGGCGGATGCCCTGTCCCGGAAACCCGAAGACAACGCAGACACGGTACAGCAAGCAGAACCCACCACGATCCTACCTCCGGCTGCATTCCTGGCCACCCAGGAGGCGCAGCCACTGCAGGTTCGGGTGCGGGAACAGCAGCGGGTCGACGCTTGGGCCCAGGAACGACTCCGGGAGCTGGCTGAAGGGTCCAGCCCACAGTATCCGGGGCTGGTCCTGCATCAGGGCCTTCTGCTGCACCACGGTCGTCTGTACATCCCGCCAGGGCCACTACGACTGGAGGTTCTCCGGATGGCCCATGATGCCCCAGCAGCGGGGCACTTTGGACGGTATCGGACCACCCATCTGGTCAGTCGAGAGTTTTGGTGGCCCCGCCTGAAGGCTGACGTGGCTCGCTACGTTGCTGGTTGTGATGTCTGCCGGCACGCCAAGGGACCTACCGGGCGACCCCCCGGCCTACTTCAGCCATTGCCAGTTCCACCGCGCCCCTGGCACACGGTTTCGTTGGACTTTGTAGTGGACTTACCCTCGTCTCGTGGCTGTACCTGCCTTCTGGTTTTCTCCGACCATTTCACCAAGATGGTGCACTGCGCTCCCTGTCCAACTATACCCACAGCCAAGGAAACTGCTCAGCTGTACCTTCAGCATGTCTTCCGCCTGCATGGACTACCTGAGCGCGTGGTGTCCGACCTGGGCGTTCAGTTCACATCCCGGTTCTGGCGAGCATTACACCAGACCCTCGGGACAGAGGTCTGCCTCTCGTCAGCCTACCACCCACAGACCGATGGCCAGACGGAACGGGCGAACGCGGTGCTGGAGCAGTACCTCCGGTGTTACTGCAGCTACCAGCAGGATGACTGGGTCGACCACCTGGCATTGGCGGAGTTCGCCTATAACAACGCGGTGAACGCGTCCACCCAGCAGACCCCGTTCCAGGCCAGTTATGGTTATCATCCACGGCTGTTTCCAGAGGTGCTGCCGGCATCCGCGGTCCCGGCGGTGACGGAGTGGCTTCAAGAGCTCCAGTCCCAGCAACAGCTTTTGGTGGAGCAACTGCACCAGGCCAAGGAAGCGTACAAAGCCCAGGCCGACCGCCACCGCCAGGTGGGGCCGGAACTCGCGTCGGTGACCTGGTTTGGCTCTCCACTCGCCACCTCCACCCCTCTCGACCTTCGCGGAAGTTGGACGCCCGCTTCACCGGCCCGTTCCCTATCGTAGACCAAATCTCTCCTGTGGCATTCCGTCTCCGGTTACCCGCAACCCTGAAGGTTCACCCGGTCTTCCACAGGTCCCTTTTGAGTCCGGTGGCCCCACCCGACGAGTTCCACCCGGACCGTCCCCGACCGCAGCCAGTGTTGGTTCGGGGAGAGCCTGAGTACGAGGTGGAACGCATCCTGGACTCCCGATACCGCAGGGAAAGCTGCAGTATCTCATTGACTGGAAGGGTACGGACCGGAGGACCGTTCCTGGGAACCAGCGGCCAATGTCCACGCACCTGCCTGCCTCCGAGAGTTCCATGCGACGTACCCCGGCAAGCCGGGTCCGGACCCTCGGTTGAGGGGGGGGCCTGGGAGGGGGGATGGTGTGATGGCCTGGGATTCCGATTCGGAGGATGAAACAGAGGAATCCCAGCCTGCACAGGAGTCCCCGCCTCCAGGGCCGGCTGAACTGGGGCAAGGCCTTGATGCTGAAGAGCCTGCACCTGTGGCAGTGCATCAGGAGCTGGCCCCAGGTGAAGCCCTTCTGGCCCCAGAGGGGCTTGATGACTCAGTGGCCACAGGTGAGCCTCCTCCAGGGCCCAGTAACCCTTCGGCCTCTCCTGATCTGCAGAGGCTTAGGGCAGAGAGGCGAAGGGAACTGGTTGCCCCCAGGAGGAGTGCTCGCCTTAAGGCCAGAGGAGGCGGGGCTCCTGGGGACCGGGACCGCCCCTGGCCTTAGAAGAGGATAAAAGCCCAGTCAGCCCGGCCCCAGGTTGCGGGAGCAACGTCGTTGTTGGCTCGGACCTTCCTGTGCTCCTGTTCCCTGCTCGGCTTCCTGTTCCTGACTATCCGGTACTCCTGTTCCCTGCTCGGCTGCCTGTTCCCGACCATCCGGTGTTCCTGTTTCCTGCACAGCCTCCTGTTCCAGCATTCCTGTTCCCCGCCCGGCTCTCTGCCTCGGACCTTGCCCCTCTTCGTGTGGACTCTGCTACACCCAAGGTACCTTACCCCCGGGACCAGCACAGTCAGTTTCTTCAGTGAGAGAAAGTTTCATTCCGCTGATGGATGTTATACATATTATATATGGGTGCTTGTTTATAAATCAAATGCATGTTCTAAATAATGACACGGAATCTGGAACTCCGCATTGAAAACAACACATAGTACCGGGAAAGTACTATGGAATATTTGAGGGCACTGCATCCTAGATCTCTCTCTCTCTCTCTCTCTCTCTGAAACAATGCAGCAGAGGAAAAGAAGAGGGGGGAATTTGAGTACAGCAAGAAGGGGGGGATACTGAGAGGAAAATGGTGTCTTTAAAGAAACACCTACTGGTAGATCCCCAGGAGGTTTTGGTAGATCACGGTCGATGGCTGGCGCCCTTTCCTTAGTGTTGGTAAAATAGAATCTGGCCCCACCCCCTCACCCTGCCCTCCATTGTTGCACAATCTGCAGAATGGAAGATGGAGTTTACTCAATGAGGCTGTTTGTGTCCCCAGCGATCTGTTGGTGAGTGGCTGTTCCTCTTTCTCTCCCAAAACCCATTAAAACAGAGCTTTCCTCCTCCCTAAGAAAAGGTCAATAACTTTGACCTGAACCCCCAAAAAGGGAAGTAGATCACTGCCAGTTTTTAATTCTGTAAGTAGATCCCAGTCTCTTGAGAGCTGGCCACCCCTGGAGTAGAGCAAGTAGAGGAAAGCAGTGAGAGAGGGAAATGGTAGTTTTAAACTTTGACAGAGCTTTGAGAAGAGCAAGCAGGGATAGAGAATCACTGGTGGTTTAAACTGGTGGTTTAAAACAATAGTGAAAATTTCAGTAGAGCAAGTGGAGGTAGGAGACATTGAGGAAAAAGTGGCAGCTTAAAATAAGGTTTCAGTATAGCAAGAAAGGGGCTCAGAAAGGTTATGTTGTGTTGGCTTTTGGGTGTTAACTTATGTGTTGTACCCATCTTTGCTATTTTCCCTTGTTGAAACTTAAAAGAAAAAAACCACCTTCCCTTCCCAGTCTATTAAGACCTCTCCCACCACTTTCTGCTCTCAGTGTCCTTCCCTTCTAGCTCTCGTGCTACAAACCCTGCTGTGGTGCAGCCTGCCTTCTCTTATGCTTCCCTACCCTGCCGTAACTTCACGCAAATCCAGGCTTCATATGAGGATTACAAATCATCTAATGGAGGCTGCGTGACGACAGCCTTACATTTTTCTGTATATAGGAAGACAGGCAAGAACCAAAAATAGCTCCATAAGTCAAATCAGTTTGATGATTAATTACAATTGCCACAAACCAGCTAAAGGTTTCATTGATTAATCTATCAATAAAAACCAATGACATGTCGGTTTCATTTGGAGCAAAAATATTGGAGCTAATAAAACTTAGCTCAGGTTCGCACTGTTGCATGGTCCCCAGTTCTCAGCATGGTGACAAGCTACAAGGGCAGCAGTGGTTTTGTTTTCTTTGGGGACTGAAATCATAACGGCATCCTTGTAATCTGGACTGCTTAGGCATATGCTTGCAGGGCACAAGCACCCCATCAAAATAAAGATCACCCCGAGACCACAAATTGAGGAGTCCCCAGACTGCACTCCCCCCTCCATTTTAACCTCAGACTTCACCCCTGCAAGAAATTTGCCCAGTGACAGTCATAGCCACAGTATATAAGGTAGTAAAGAGCAAAGGGGAATCTCATATATGACCATGAAAATGAGTGCTCTCCCAGTAAAGGTACTATTCTAATATCTCACTCTACAGGAGCTGTGCAGTTCTTTCTTCCCCTACCATGAACATGAAAGGATGTGCAGCTCTCATTTGCTCATCACCTGACAACTTTCCTATCATAGCATGCAAAGCATCCCTCAAGGGAGGAGTTCTTCAGCACTGAAACCCCAACACTTGCAGTAGGTCTACTATACTGTGGTACCTCGGGTTACATACACTTCAGGTTACATACGCTTCAGGTTACAGACTCCGCTAACCCAGAAATAGTACCTCGGGTTAAGAACTTTGCTTCAGGATGAGAACAAAAATCGTGCTCCAGCGGCGCGGCAGCAGCAGGAGGACCCATTAGGTAAAGTGTTGCTTCAGGTTAAGAACAGTTTCAGGTTAAGAATGGACCTCCGGAACGAATTAAGTACTTAACCTGAGGTACCACTGTACTGAAGAAGAGAATATTGGTTTGTTATTTTCAGTTCCATGTTGCGGAGAACACAAATGCATCCAACCTATACTTTGATTTTGTAATCAGGTGCTCATAAAGATTTTAGTTTTGAGTGATGCCAGTTCAGACTTCAGGGGTTACCGATCCATATTTAGCCACTAAGTTACAGTGGGATGGGGGCACGGAACACATTTTAATTAGCAGGTGTTTTTAAAGGTTTTTTTTTAATTTTAAAAAATCCTCCTATATATTGGGGGTCTACTTTGCAGGCAAGCATGCAAGCCCTCTAAGAATCTCTTCAACCAAGAGTGATTCTGGCTGAATCTATACTAAAGAATTCTCCCTTCACCCCTGTATTTCACAACTCCAACCAAAATCTCCTTACTAGCTCCTTTTTAGGTACATTAACAATCATAATATCGTCTGTCACCTCATTTCTCTGTATGCTGAAAATTGCCTTGCTAACATTTCTCCACACTGCACTTGTTTATGCCTCCTGTTCAATTTCTACTTGATGCTAGCTCTTTTATTAACATAGCATTTTCTATATTTTCCAATAGGTGAAATATACTACACGCACTACATAGAGATAATCATCTCTCTAACTGTGAACTCAAATGGTGAGTCCCGACAGAATTGGATCAAAAATGAGGCAACCAACATTTGGTTGATTCTGTCAATTCCTGTTCTCTCAGTTCCTTATTTTTCCACTCTTAAATTGTTCTCCACATTTCTACAGCAATTTGATAATATTAGTGAAAATAATCTCATGAATATTCAACATCATTTTAGTGCAAACTTTACCAAAAAACACATTTTTGTATGCAGTTGTGACTAATAAACTCAAATTTCTCCAAATGTAATGCATATTTTGTGTTATTTACTTCTAATAGGTGTAATCCTATGCACTTGGGATACACATTACTTCATTGGCAACCACATTGCAAAATTTCAAAAAGTGAAAATTTTGAATTATGGCTGTGCATCCATTCACATCTTGTTTCAGAAAGTGAAAATTATGTAAATTCACCTTTAAAAGCAAACCCTTTAAAAGCAAAGTATCTCATTTAGGGTGGGGAAGTCATATAAATTCATAGGAAACAAACATTCATCATCTGAACCACCATATTTGTTAGTATAGGTAAAGGACCCCTGGACGGTTAAGTCCATTTGAATTTGATGGACTATATGGAACTGGCGGAAATGACTGGCAGAATCCGCGACCAGCCGCAGCCGTACCTATTTATCTACTCACACTGGTATACTTTTGAACTGCTAGGTTGGCAGGAGCTGGGACAATGCAACAGGAGTTCACCCCGTTGTGTGGATTCAAACTGCTGACCTTACATCAAGACAAGGAAGTTCAACATCATCAAGACTAGCTAGTTCAAGATTTTAGATCCATTTGTTGCTTGCTACACAAAGCAGTCAGACAATTCAAATAATTTGTGGGGTGGAAACTCACAATAATGGAGCGAAGGAAGAGTCAACAAGCAGCGCAGATCAAGCGGCAAGCTCACTTTGCTTAATCTAGGATAATTTGGTGCTTAGATGGACAAAGTGAAGCAGTCCAGATGCAATGTGCCTCAGCATTCTGAGCACAAGAAGATTTCTCCCTCACGTAGCCCAGCAAACATGAAGGGACACACAAACTAATTAGCTAGAATCCCTAACTAAACAAGAGAGTGTTGCATTGGTGTCAGCCAAGCCAGGCAGTGAAGTGCTGACATTGTTCCAAGCGAGAGGCCACAGTGTGAAAAAAAGTGTTCTTATGCCATGCTCGTGGACAAACAGAAAGTGATGTGAACCCTATGGGACTGTAAAGGTGCAGAAGTCTTGCATGGAGATGATGATGTGGTCAAAGAAACAGCCACAATATAACAGATCTTCTCGGAACCAGCCCTAGTTTTATGCAGTGAGGAAGCTGTCCTACGCAGTGTCAAGAAAATGCAGCAAATGGTGGTTATTTAATTGGTCTGTTGTCAGGCAATGGGAGAGCTGTTTGTGAGATTTTCTGCCTTAGGTGAACCTAAAAATATATGAAAAGCCCTCCCGGTTGCTTTATATTGTTGTTCTTATGAAAGTGAAATTCTCACAAGCTACTCTGAGTGTTGCCTTTGAAGCAGGAGAGCGGGATATGAAGATTTTAATACATCAAATCAAAGCCACCAGATTACCCTTACCCAAAGGCAAGTTCCTCCATTCTCAAGGCCTCCGTGTGGCCAGTTTCACAGAGTACAGTGGTAGCATCAGCAGCAGGGAACCACATAGATGCCAGAGGCAACTCTCTGTTCTAGGCAGCGTGTCCTTGTACCCTTCTATTTCTTATCATCATACCACAGAGGTTTTCAACCTTTTTGAGTCCACAGCTGCCTTGCCCAACTGCATTCTTTCTGTCGCTCCCCTACGGGGAAACCTCAGGAGCCCAGTTATTTCACTCCTTGCCTGCGGAGCTAGCACACCCTAGCCCTTTTCAAACACCCTCCCTTGGGGAGTGTTTCCTCAGTCTCCTCTCCCCTCTCCTTGGGCAGCCGCCCCTGGTCCCTTACATAAAGGTAAAGGTAAAGGACCCCTGACCATTAGGTCCAGTCCTGACCGACTCTGGGGTTGCGGTGCTCATCTCGCTTTATTGGCCGCGGGAGCCGGTGTACAGCTTCTGGGCCATGTGGCCAGCATGACTAAGCCGCTTCTGGCGAACCAGAGCAGCACACAGAAATGACGTTTACCTTCCTGCTGGAGTGGTACCTATTTATCTACTTGCACTTTGACGTGTTTTCAAACTGCTAGGTTGGCAGGAGCAGGGACCGAGCAACAGGAGCTCACCCCATCGTGGATATTCAAACCACCGACCTTCCGATCGGCAAGCCCTAGACTCAGTGGTTTAGACCACAGCGCCACCGGCGTCCCTATAGGCTTGTTAGACCTTTTAAATATGCCCAAAGTTCCAGCAGCCCTGGCTACAAGATCCTCAGGCAAATGGGGAGCTGCCTCTGGGGCCGGCCAGGGTGTGCTGGTTGCGAGGATCTGAGGGGACTTAGGAGAAGCAAACAAGTGGATGAGGGAGCCCAACCAGCCATCTATGAGCCCTTGCTGCTGGAAATGGATGGACAAGTGCTGGCCTTTCTTGTGCTTGTTGTGTGCAATGCCTGCTTGGGAGCTGAGTGCCAGGCTTTCCCCCCATGCAGTCATGAGGAGGCACCTCTTTTTTGGGGGGGGTGTATGTAAGGGACCCTGGGAGGCGGGTGGCACTGTGGGTTAAACCACAGAGCCTAGAACTTGCTGATCAGAAGGTCAGTGGTTTCAAACCTGCAGTTTGAAAGCACGTCAAAGTGCAAGTAGATAAATAGGTACCACTCCGGCGGGAAGGTAAACAACGTTTCCATGCACTGCTCTGGTTTCGGTCTTCCGTTGCGCCAGAAGTGGCTTAGTCATGCTGGCCACGTGACCCAGGAAAACTGTCTGTGGACAAACGCCGGCTCCCTCAGCCTGTAAAGCGAGATGAGCGCCACAACCCTAGAGTCCTTTGCGACTGGACTTCACCGTCAAGAGTCCTTTACCTTTTAACAAGCCTATATTTCCATGCTTTACCTTGCTGCATTTATTGTGACTCTGCCGGGGTTCTCTCAACAAAGGGTGCTTACCCCAAACCTGGTTCTTGGCATCCAGAAATTCTCCTTTCTTTATATTTCTTTTTCCTTGCACCAGCAGAATAGCAACAAACATTCTGTTCAATAAATCATTTTTTAAAAGCCTACACTTGGAATGCCTGACTGACCCCTTCATTGGACAGACCCACAGCATACATTTACAGCACATCCAAAGAACATTTGAAACTTGCAACTTCCTCCCAGAAATCAGGAAGAAGTGGTTTGTAAAGGGTACTGGCATTATAGGTCTGCAAAGGGAAAACTACAGTTCCCAATATTTATTTATTTTTAGGTGGGGAAGTAATGTGCTTTAAATGTATGTTGAGTGCTCTTTAAATCTATGGTATGTATTTGCCCTTTATTGATGTTTGAATCAGCACTGGGCCCTTTGGTTCTACTATGCCTTAGTTGGATATAGAGTTTTGTCCAATTCTGTGCTTTTAATATCTTCCTCTCAGTTTTTAGCTTCATCTTCTTTCTTAAATTTTATCGTTTTATGGATTATGTGTTGTTTTAATTGAGGCTGTGAGGTGCCTTAGCTGCCCATAAAGGGCCAAAAGTTGGAATATAAATATTTAAATAACTAAAAAATATATATCTCCTAGTAGTCTAAAATAAACAAGAAACCATTTTACTTGTCCAGCAGATAAAATATAACAATTAAAAATGCTTTTCACCTCCTGCAGAAATAAACTTTACCCTAGATAGCAGAAATCTGAAAGTTACTTGGATATTTTTTTCTACTGAGATAATGCAATCTTCCTACAGCTAAAAAAGCATATGGGTTTTAAATGCTTTAAATTTTTATGCACCAGGCGGCAGGTTTTAAATTAACAATGAACCAGTTATTTTGTGTAATTCCAGGAAGACAATCTATCATTTTTAAGTTTTCAAATTTTTCACTGCTCCCATTTTGCTAGGCCCGAGACATATTGTACATTTTCTCATCATCTGTCATAGATCATTGCAGCAAGAGCACTATGTGATTTCTAAGGGAAATAGCTCTGATCTGAATTTCTGTTCTTTTTCTTTTCTTTCTTTCTTTCTTTCTTTTTTGAAGTTGTACTTCATTAAAAACGGGGGAAAGCTCATGAAAAAACAAGAACGGTACAAGGGGGCGAGGAACTGAAGACGGGGAAACTGAATGTAGTTTCAAGTGCTCTGCTTTCCCCCTTAATGAGATTAATCCATATGTTTGTTTCTCCTGCACAGGACTTTCTATTTTCAAAAGTTCACAGAGAGCTCCTGTTTGTCTGTCTTTGGTATTGATGCTCAGAGTTGTTCAGACAAAGGAAAATAGCATTAAGTCCTTCAGAAGCAGCTGCTTTTGCAGCAAGAGACGCCATGGACATCTGTAAACTGAATGTACCGACTGTAATCTTTTGCCTTTATAGCGCTCACTGCTTTGAGTTGGTGACCTACAATGCAGTAAACATTCTGAAGGTGTCCATGGATCCAGCATTTAGAGAAATGGGGACGGGAAGCATGGGTTGGGAGTGCTACATCATTGCCTACCACTTTGATTGGGAGATGAAACATTCCATCTGCTCTTTAAAGATCACTCTCCAAAGAATGAACAGAGCATTATCTCCTGACTGTGAGTGTGGGTGGCACTGTGGTCTAAACCACTGAGCCTCTTGGGCTTGCCAATCAGAAGGTCAGTGGTTCGAATCCCCATGATGGAGTGAGCTCCCGTTGCTCTGTCCCAGCTCCTGCCAAACTAGCAGTTCGAAAGCATGCCAGTGCAAGTAAATAAATAGGTACCGCTGTGGCGGGAAGGTAAACAGCATTTCTGTGTGCTCTGGTTTCCATCACAATGTTCTGTTGCCCCAGAAGTCGTTTAGTCATGCTGGCCACATGACTCTGAAAGCTGTCTGTGGACAAACTCCGGCTCCCTTGGCCTGAAAGCGAGATGAGCACCGCAACCCCATAGTCACCTTTGACTGGACTTAGGGGTCCTTTACCTTTACCACCTCTTCTGGTTTGACCTTCTGTGTATCAATTATCCAATCCAATACTTGCCTCAGACTTAGCACACTCATCACCTCAACTGCATTAGATGAAAAGTATAAATCTAGTTCAATGTCATCAACT